GTTGAGCACTTTTCATTTACCTTTTGGCCATTTGTATGTCTTCTTTAAAAAATGTCTATTCAGATCCTTTGCCCATTTTTAACCAGATTATTTCCTTTTCTTGCTATTGAGTTGTATGAGTCCTTTATACATTTTGAATAATAACCCCTTATCAGATAAATGGTTTGCAAATATTTTGACTCATTCTATGGGTCATCTTTTCAATTTACTGATAGTTTGCTGAGCAAAAGATCTTTAGTTTGGTATAGTCTCATTTATTTTAGCTTTTATTTGGCCTGTGCTTTTGGTGTGGCATCCAAGAAACTGCTGGAACCAATATCAAGGATTTTCCCCCTATGTTTCCTTCTAGGAGTTCTACAATTTCAGGTCTTATATATTTAAGTCTTTGGTCCCAAACAGGCTAAGCAATCTTGAGAAAGAAGAACACAGCTGGAGGCATCACACTTTCTGATTTCAAACTATATTACAAAGCTATAGTAATCAAAACTAAGAAAAGGATGATCTCTTTAACAAATGGTATTGGGGGAAATGGAGATCTTCATGCACAAAAATGAAAGTCATTCTTTTAATACATTTGACTTATTCAGTCAATAACTATTGAGTATGTGCTCTGTGCATGGTGTTTTCAAAGTACTGACAGCAACAGAGATTTGAGTATGATCTTATCTGAGCCCTGAATGACCTAACAGAGGCCCTCCTATTTCATGTTCCCATTGCCAGTTCACAGTAAGCAGTGTAAGGACTGAGCTGTCTGTCTTCCCACTTTAACCATTCCAGTGCCCAACCTCATCAATCTTCTTCATCTTCTCTTGACAGAAGTATCTATTTGATTCTGGTCTTTTGGAATTTAATCCAGGTAGTTGGGTCACTACCAGCCAAGGGCTGGAACAAAAATAAGAAAATGTATCAAAAAGTCTGAATTAGTGTTGACTGGTCATAGAAAGGTGTTCCCTTTGTCTCAGGAGTTCCAGGGTTGGTCAAACGGTCCTTTATGGGAGAAAATAAAAAAGCACCGTGAAATGCAAACTGGGAGGAGGGACAACGCATTGTAATAGAAGCAAAATGTCAGAATATCAGGCAAGTCAATCAGAGGTAGGTGTTTGAAGAGGTAAAATGAAATCAGCGTGGTAGGTGGGCAGGGGGCATTTCAGAACCAAACATGTGATTTTGGGTTTGCGTGAAGACCTGGATCAGATTGCTTTCCGATCTAATCTTGGACTTCCAATCTGCCTCTTTCATCTCCATAAGACTTTTCTCAACCACCTCCAGTGTTAGTAAGGCATTTTTCAGGAACTGAGAAGTAAAAACAATGAACTCATTGACTTTGCATCAGGCCTGCCTTGTGAGAGCTACTGTTTGCCGTCCTTACTTTAGTGGTTAATGTCATGGTCATGCCAACCCACAAAGCCCCGTTCATTTACTGTGTTTGCCTTGGAACCAGTGGAGGTATCTGGGAACAGGGAAAATATTTAGAAGTAGTTAAAGTAAAATGGTAAGAGTGTTTACATAAACTTGCCTGTTTTCCCTCTGAATGGTATCCAGATTACAATTAATTCCACAGAATCCTTTATCAGGGTGATAGTTGAAAGGCTCAAGACTATATAAATCAGACTTAGAAAATAAATGGGGCATGAACATTTTTTTCTGCGTGCAGCTGCCTGGAGTCTGAGAGGGAAGCAATATGAAATACCTTGTAAGTACATTTTCTGATTTTGAATACAAGTGATGAGGTTTTCAGAGCCCAGAAGAGTTAGGGAGTAGGTTTTTTTTTTCTCTCCATGGATTCTTCAAATTAATCCTAAATATAGAATTTCCAAATATTAATTTGGCACATAACCTCCCTTTTGGTAATCCTCTCTGTTTTAAAACATCAGAATGATAAGTCTTTCCCAAAAGAACTAATAACTCATTTCTTCAAAGTCCAAGGATCTTGGAAGGTTGAGAAGATATTCATATTTTAGGGTCTTCTCTCCCTAGATTCATCTTATTTACAAATTTCCAATGAGGAAGTTTCAGGTGTATTAAATATAAGGCACCAACTCTCAGAATAGTTTAATGAAATATTATTGCTGTCCGCATCTCATATTTCTCCTTGGTTAGCCTCACTGCATTGTGGTAATTGTTCAGAGAGGAGCCGTTTTCTCTTCCTTTGAGGGTGTATCTCACCTTCATGGTGTCCTGTACGTGGAATATTGCATAGGCTGTTGTAGGGATGGAAGAGAAGGGAGTTTTCCATCCATTTCAGCTTATGTTGTAAGTGAACTTGAGCTGAGCGAGCCTGAAATAGACCAGATAATGAACAATGAGGTGCAGGGAAAGATTTGCTGCCACCCTCATCCTAGCCTGTTTCTGCCCATCTAATTCTCTTTCAATTAGTCTCTGATGCCCAAAACTCCTTCAACAGGCAAGGAAGGCAGGTCACACCAAGAGCAAACGATTCACCGCATAGGTCTCAAGAACTAGTAACATTTGAGTAAAATCTCTTGCAAAATAAGGTGTATATAAGTGGTGCATGGTTTTTTTATGCTCAGGCAAAGTGGGAGATTCTGGAGGAAAGGAAAGCAAGGGGGAGACCAGATTCCAGAGGGTACAGAGAGGGGGTCCCCACTGGTTGGGAAGAAAGAGGAAGGTACAGAAGGAAAGACTAGGGACCCAAACAATCACTCATTTTGCAATATGATTGACAATGGTCCTGCACTATGTGCACATCAGGTGGTTGGTCAGATTGCCTAATACTCCACCCGGGGATTGACAGTAGATGTAGAACAAAGCAAAAAGCATCCTTGAATGAGCAGTAACGCTTTGCTTCTTGAGTAGCCAGCACATCCCATCTCAACCACACTGAATGACAGTCTCCTAATACGTACTGAGGCCTCCAAGAAACACTGTGAAAGTGTTGGATCTTTCAAAAGGGCTCTGACCTTGGGGGTCTGATGGGTTTCAGGCTCTGGGCTTGTCTGAGGCTAAGGGAGCAGGTGCACTGATATTTGTCTCCATTTCAGATTGCGCCTTCCATCCTTGTGGCCTTCTTCCTAACTCCATCTCTGGCCCTGCTGGTAAGTGAAGGGTGGAGAGGGTCCAACCTGCCTGGTCCTCCTTCAGCAGAAGTGTTTTAAGGGTGACTATCCCGGGCGGCCTTCCTCAAATTTCTTGGGACATGTAAAGGGGTACCTTTAAACCTGCAAGATATGGGCAATGCAGGAACTCTGGACTTTCAACTGTCCCCCTGTTCCCCCTTGGTTTTCTCCAGGACATCAGTGACAGCCATCCTCTGGATGGATCTGTTGGGACCCAGAGCATCCGTGTCAATGCCTTTCGAGGTATGGTCAGCATCCGAGACAACAATGTTTTGAGTGAATGGGATGGAATCTTGGACTACGAGAATGTAAGATGTGGAACACGTTCGTTACAATGCCCAAGAAAGCCTTGTCTGCTCCAAAATCTAGCCGTATGCTCTCCCAGGGCGGAGAGGACCCCGTCTCCGTAGGCTTTCTCTAGGTTTAGGCTCGTGAGGGAACACATCTCTCTAGACAAGGGACCAGCTTTCCAGCTGCTGCAGTGACTTCTTTTCAAGCCATCGACTGTAGGAGGACCTTCTGTGGTCTCTGTGTTCCTGTGTGGTGTTGACGTCACAGGGCTCCTGAAGGCCTCTGAAATGAGAGAGCCATTTAAAGGACCCTTATTTCCTATCACTGGTCTGTGCTCTAAAGGTTATTTTGTGTAACTGATTTACAATGTTAGTTTCAGGTGGACAGCAAAGAAATTCAGTTCTACATATACATACATATATATGTATATTTTCGGATTATTTTCATTACAGATCATTACAAGAACTTGAATGTAGTTCCCTGTGCTATACAGCCGGCCCTTGTTGTTTATCTGTTTTGTATATGGTAGTGTGTGTCTGTTAATCCCAACCTTCTAATTTATCCTCCCCCCACCTTTCCCCTTTGGCAACCATAGTTTGCTCTCTATGTCAGTGAGTCTATTTCTAGTTTGTAAATAAGAGGTTATTTTGTCTTGATCTCAGATCTTAAGCAGTTTATTTCCAGAGCAGAAGAATACATGAATTGTCACCTTGAGAAACCTTGCCTCGACTTGCCTGTGTGGTTAGGTACTCTGATCTGGCAGGAGGATGCAGGACTGGGATGCGACGGCCCGCGTCCTCAGCCTGGTCCTGGATAGAAACGCTCTACGACCACAGAGACATCACTCAGCCTCTGTGTGCCCGGGTGTCCTCATCTGCAAAGCACCATCAATGACCACCTTTCCTACCCAATAGGATTCTAAGAGGATTAAATGAAGGGAAAGCCCACACTCCTGACTGGGGCCCAGAAGGCCCTCTGCCATCCAGCCCCTGCTGTTTGGAAGCCCCTCTCCTACCTCCACACCAGACATCTCAGGATAGACACCCAAAACACAGGCTTTCCCTCTGCACCTGCCGGGACCACCCACGCTCTCCTCCCCAAGCACCGTCTCCCTTACACTTCACCCAACCACTCCCAGTTTCCACAAGGAGCATCTCCTGAGCCCTCTTAGAAGGCAGGCAGCCTAGGGATGTCCAGCTCTGTTTTCAGCAGAGGGATTTTTCTTCAAATAAACTGTTCCATGGAATTCCACTATGTGGAACAGAAGTCAGCACTGCTCTGGCTGGAGGAGGGAGAGGGGCTCAGTCAGGCTCAGCTGGAGAACCGCTGATCTATTCCGAAGCTGAGAGGCCACGTGACAGGCCCACGGCCACGTAAGGGGGTGTGGGGGCAGGGGAGTGGTCAGTGGCAGACTCAGGACTGGAATCCGAGTCTAGGGGTTTGGACCAAGGCCCCTCCTCACCCCGAATGTCCAGAGAGCACTCTCGCGATGACATGCCGAGCTGTAGGTATCTTGTCCCATCCTCGTGGCAGCCCCGTGGGGGAGGGCTCACTGTTCCTGCTTTACCAATGGGGAAGCTGAGGGTCGTGGAGGTGGCTGAGGACCATGGACAGCACCTTAAATTCCGCCTTGCTACTGGGGCTGACCCCCTCCCCCTCCAGTCCCACCAATGTGTTAGTGGTGTGCAGAGTGCCCCTGGGGGATTCCTTCCCCTACCTGCAGCAGTGACAGTGCCGGGAGCCCTTGGGCACAGCAGGGCCCTGTATGCTGCACGTTGCTTGCTGGTCTCTGCCAGGGTGCTCCACACCACAGTCTGAAGAACAGCCATGTGCCCCAACTGATGGCAAGTAGGAGTTCACTATGTTTGATTGACTGAATGACCTGATTCTGCTGTGTTGCTTTAAGGCCCTCTTGGCTGCTAAGCTGTTTAGCAAGATGGCCTGTGTCCTGGCCAAGATGGACCCATCTGCCTTCCCAACTTTGGATGACATTATTAAGGCCCTGGACCACAAGGTAAGTGAGACCAACTAACTGTGGTCCCCTCTTCGTTTGGTGGTTTCCAGCTCTGCATCCTGACATCCTAGGATGATGCTGTCCACATGGGGGAGCTCAGTTCATGCTTATTCTTATCATGCAAAAGACCCTGAGTCCAGTCCACAGCCCAATTAAGTCAAATCATATGAATGAAAAAAGATCGATTAAAATTCCAGGCGATGACACAATTTATGTTCAACCATTTATATTCACTAACATAGGTAAATATAAATATTAGTGTGAACTAAAAGAGCATTTTTATCCTCATGCCTTCTATCCTCCCCTACCCACGTTCTAAACTCATATGCACATATTATCTTTAGGCCGAAATGCTCTTTCGCTCAGCCTCTTAAATGACAAGCGCTGTCAAATAAATTAAAAATCAGCAGACATCTTTGGCAAGTCATTGAAATCTGGTGTCATTTGCTAAAGCAACTTGCCCAGCACATTTGAGCAACACTGCCTGTGGCAGGAGGACCACTGACTCTTGGGGGAAAAGAATGCACTTTGGGTCACGAAAAGTAAAACAAATTGTCCATTTTTTAAAAGACAGGTAGAAAGTACCCCATTCATCTGATTTATAACAAGTAAAAACATAATATAAATGAAACACATAAGTTTAAGTCTATTCTATATTATCATTAGAGATGAGAAAAACACTGGAGGCTGGACGCTTTGAGAACTTAAGGGAATGGAGTTCAGGCTGAGTCACAGGGCCACGCAGGCTCACACACAGATTTTCTGGAGTACTTTCGCCATCTTGTGGCCAGATAGGATATTACTGCTAGAGACGAAACTCAAAGCCAAGTTTGGGTTCTCGGCTATTTCTGTAAATTGAATGGCCCCCGGGGCACTGGAATAGGTTTCTCTCCTCTTCTTCTTTGCTGTACCTCCTCTATTACTGTCTCACCATTTTGAAATGCCACCTCTTCCAGCCTTTAAAGCGTTATCCATCCACTCACGGCCTGACCTACACTGTTCTACCCGACCGGGTCAAGAACTTGGCCCAGTATGGAGTGTCCATCAAAGAGATGTGCCGAGACGTCCCCACCTACTTTGTCCAACAGCAAAAAGAAGGTGTGTCAATAACTAGAAACCCAAGACCATGGGCGAGGCAAAAGGTGCAGGATGATTTTTAGGTTATTGGCAAGTTTTAATGACAGTTTTCAGGTCTATTCCATTTCTTCGCTACTGGTTATAAAAATAATGAGGCATGAGGGGTACTGCCCCCTCGTGGCAGAGATGATTTCTTGACACCAGGGCTCATTAAGAACGGGAAGCAGAGTTAGCTCACCAGAAGGTTGAGGACTGTCATTTCACCAGTGGGATTTGACAGCTGGTGGATACCCTCACCTGACCCAAAGCTTCATCCTTGCACCTTCATCCCCAGTTCCAGCCCAAGCAGCACAGTGCCTGTTGGGAGTATGGCGGGGGATCAGTGGTGACCAGCTTAGAAAGCTACAAGATAAGATTTCAAAATCGGCCTGCTGTTTCAGATAGAGTCAGTAACCACTTCCCATTAGGCTGTTGCCAGTCACTCACACCTTAGTATAAATTAACCCAATGAACAAGGCTTTTACATAACAGCAACTTCCAGCAGGGAGAACTTGAGGGTCTTGGGAGGTTAGAAGAGGATGGTGAAAGGTCAGTCAAAGAAATAGAAAAAAAAGGTGAGGGGGATGTGGGGCCAATTGTTGCAGAGGAAGAGGAGAGATCTTCCATTTTGTTCCCAGATCTCTTGCTAGTAGAGTGGGCCTGACCATCATATCATGTGCATCATAATATACCCACTCGCTTTGGGGGATCTTCTTAATAAAATGCTTCCCTTTCTTCTTAAAGGTTCTGCACTGGCTACCAACCCTGATTCCTGTTCTGAAATCCAACTTCTGTCCTTCCTGGGACTCTCTATCTGTGGGGAGATCCCTGGGCTCTGAACCTCCAGGTTGGCCATGTGGAGAGAGGACCTGCATGGATGGGGCCACTGGCCCCAAACCATTGCTCGGGGGCCACCCAGCCCACTGTCTACTGATGGGAAGATGCTCATTTCAGTCCTCTACCTTCTACCTTTGACCAAAGAACCAGCTTTGTGATCTAAAAATTGGGTACCCTTTCTCCCTGTGGCTTAGAACAATAAAGTTTTTTTGCCTCCCTGGCCCAGCAGATGAACCTCACTGCCTGCCCTGTCCTCTCTCGAGTTAGCAGATCCCCACCCATGCACAGTCCATGCCACTGCACACCAGCTGGTGCAAAGGAGGAGGTCCCAGAGCATCTTATTTCTAAGGGCTTCTCTCTTTGGGGTGTCCTTTGAAGAATCCCTTGAGAATCTGGGCCAAAAATAAATAAGTGAATAACAAAAAGACACTAGTCAAAGCACAGACAAGCTTTCGGGTCTAAGGCCAGCATCTCTGTCTTCTGCAAACGAGTGCTGAGTTCTACAGAAGCCTGCTCACTGGGGTGGCCTGGCCTGCACTGTGAGAGTCCCTGAGAGACAGCCAAGTGGAAGGAGGCTTCCCAGACCTCTCTGTGGAACTGGTCTAAACTTCTTTGCCATAGCCCCCAGGCGTATCTCTCTGTTACAACTGAATAAGGGACCTGCCCTCTTTGCACTGGTTCTTTAACTGTCCACTCCTGCAGCTGGGAGGACACAGAGCCAGCCCTGCCCACAGCACACAGGGCATCCCTGGGTCCGTCACCTTAGACAGAAGAATAAACGAGGAGGAAGTATTGGAAATACAGACACAGGTGTCCACTGAAGGTCGTGTTGGAGTTTGGGGTAAATAGTGTGCGACGGGGGCGGGATGGGGGCGGGAGTGTTGAGCAATGCATCTGCGTGGAGTCGGGGGGCTCGGGGTGGTCTCAGCACCAGGATGCCCAAGACCAAGCTGAGCGCAAGTCCCGCAGAGCCGTGATGCGGTGTGACTGCCTACGGTCACGAACGGAAAGGTGAAAGGCCCAAGATAAACCTCTAACTGGGCTTAAATAGGTTCTAGTTGGACCAGCCAGAGGCTCTGAAACTGTGGATTTGGTCACACGCAGCGTGTCAGGGATGAGGCAGGTGCACGGCGCACTCAGGGGAGTATCAGACGAGACAGGCCTCGCTCTAGCTCCCCAACCACGACCAGAGTTACCCTTCTGTGCTGAGATGAGACTGTAAACTCCAGCCCCGCCTCTGCCTCGCCTCGGCCAGTTATCTGGATTTGGGTTCCATCACTTGCCAACACTAGGGTTCCAGCTAGTACACTTCACCGTCTGTTTGTCACTTGATTAGACCCTCTTTACTGTTGCTATCAAATGTTCTCATATAAATGACTCACTTCTTTACAAGCAAATCACTTTCTTTACTAAGGCAGCACGATGCCAGCACATCGATCCCAGCGCCGAACACATGCCACGGGCTTTATGTAAGTTCATCAGTGGTTGTTAAGGAGCAGATGTCAGTGTCAGGAACAGGAGCAGTTGATGGCAAATAGAAATTCTTGTTAAAGGAGTTCCTCCTTGTTCTGAACTTGCACTTGCTGACCGGTGCACATGGGAACCAACTCTATGATCTGGGAATTTGCCCACATTATGCAATTTATTTGAAATATTAGAAATTGGTTTCCTTCTATGTATTGACCTGCCATTCCCAGTTAGGTTCTCACTCCTGGGTGATGGGTGTTCTTCCCTCTCTCTCCTCACTCTGGGACAAAATATATCAGGATAGAGTTTATTAAAGTTGAATCTACTGCTTTAATGAGCTAAAAGGCATGAGAATGGCCCTCAAAGTTCCCTTCATCTGAGCATCTGAGTTGTCCGACAAGGGTATAGCTAACCCATCCCCCCTCACTAGTGGAGGTCACTGCCGCCTGAGCTCCTGCTCTATCTACACTGCCCCAGTGTGCTGGACGGACAGATGGACAGCTGGTCTAAGTAGTCAGATGCAAAAATGGAGACTTGTACACAGCTGACCAGCCTAAATGTGACTCACCTATATTACCAGGGAATTTTCACACTACTTGTGTACTTGAAATCCTGGAAATTTCTTCCCCTTTATATATTGACATAAACATTATTTGGCTCCCTTTTGCTGTTTACAAAAAAAAAAAAAAAAGCAAGTACCCAGCTATGTATAAATAGAGTATTTATGTTTTACTACTGAATCTCAAAGTGAGTTGGGGCATTGAGAAAGAAATGAAGTTGGCTGTGGAGTAGAAACCAAGGGCGTATTTCTTTGAAAAGATGAGACCGTGGGCTGATGCCTTAAATGTGAAGGTCTGCGCAGATGGAAATGTCAAAGATGCTCCGGAGCCCAGCCTTGGCACAGCCTTTAGCACTGTCATAATCTGAAAAGGGGGAAATTTTTTAAAGAAAGGGTATTAAGAAAGATATTATTAGAATTAAGCAAACCAGTGCCCTTCTGTAAATGTCTTGACTAAGGGTTGTACATGTAATTTCATGTTACCCAAGATTTTAGTTATACTTTTATTGTAAAGAATAATAATATATTAAATTGAATTAAATGAGACTGACAATTCCTGCAAGTGCTGTCTGGCTCAAGTCAATTGATGTCATGACAATTTGCATTGATGGCATGCATGCCTGTGTGACTTTACTTATAAATACTAATGACCTTATTAAAAGAAAAATGTCCTAATTTTTTTTTCTGGGCAATAGAAAGGTAATCCATGCTAATTCTTTTCTTCTTTATCTACTTCCCACAACTCTGGGGGAGTTTCTCTTGTTGTTGTCTTCACCATCTGTGACCCAGCCTCTCTTTCACTCTGGCCACATTGCCCTATTTATAAATTTTGAGTAAAAATACCAGTAACTACCTCAGTGACATATGCTACCTGTAAGAATTAGGGTTTTTATTCCCCATCTGCCAGTCCATTTGCCTGCTTTTTCTTGGACCAGTTTTATCCTAGATTCTGAGTATATTTTTTAAATTTTTTGAGAAATAATGGACAAATATATTTGTATATATTTAAAGTGTTCAATGGGATGGTTTGATACACAAATACATTGTAAAAGATCAAGGTAACACATCCATCACCTCACATATTAGCATCAGTAACTCTTTTATGTGTGTATTTGCTAAGAATGCTTACTATCTACTCTCTGTAGCTTTCAAGTACGCAAGACCACGTTATCAGCTAGAGTTACCATTCTGTACATGAGAGAACCCAATAGATTTTCCCTTGGTACCCAGGAATCTTTTTTTATTCCATCCTCTGTGTGAACTCATCAATATCTCCTCTAAACTATTTGCTCTTTGGGAGCAAAGTTTTATTCATTTCTGTATCATTCTAACATTTAGCACTATTTCCACACGTGTTAGGTATTTAATTCCCGAAGTTAAAACCACATCGAGTCCTGTTTCATGTTTATTTGTACCTCGCACAACACCTAGTGTCTGGCACATTGGAGCTTTCGGAAAATACTTGGTGAAGGAATGGTTCATTGGTACTCACGTGTCTTTTCAACCACTTCCCCCTTATACAAGGGGACGTGTTCACAGAGGTGCTTGATGGGCGAGCCAAACAGGAACCAGCTCACATCTGTGATCAGAGACTGCAGTGGGTTGTACTTGACCCAGATGTATTTGCTGGAGAGCATGTTGTTCAGAGTCTAGATCAGGACGATAGAGTGGGATAGCGTGAAATCACCTGACATAGTCTGGTGCACCTTATTCTAAACTGACATTTTCTCTTCCAGATTATTAAACAGAAGGTGGCCAGGGATCTCAAGACATCATCTCTTTCTGACCACTTGGTCTGTAAAGGAGCCTCATTATTTCCAATATTATTTTACAACTGGTGGCAATGAAACCCAAAGAGGGTGAGTCTGGTGCCAAAGGCGGCACGAATGAGAAGATATGGAGGAAGAATTCAACCCCAGGTTCCCAGTTTCAAGCAGCGTTTGTGTATTCTCGCTAACCCGGATGTTTCTTTGCACCTCTGTGTCATTAGCTAGCATAACTTCACTCATTTTTCTGCCCATCAGTATTTCTCAGAGCCCTGCTCTAAGAAGAGAAGGCGTTCAGTCCTTTCTACAAAGACACTGGAATTTATTATAAGTTCTTGTATTGGGGGCTGCACGGTAGAACCAAGCTAAGAGATGTATTCCTGCTCTCAAACCCAGTAAAGGTGAAAATGCTTTAATAAGTGGAGAGTGCCGCATCCACGGTAAGGCTCATACGAGGGGCTTCCCCCTTACCCTTTTCATTTCTCCATGGAAACCACGATTCCCTGGCTCACAAACAGGGAACGCTTAAGGTCCCCCCAGAATTACCTGCCTCTCGAAGATGTACCGTTTGAGTTGGTCCAGAGCAGGGATGGCTTGATGGTTCATCTTCAGGATGTAGCAGGCCCTTCGGCAGAGCACCCTGGTCGCGATGTAGCCCTGAAGCGGCAAGAGCGCGGTTACCGCCCCGCCCGGTCCTGGGGCGGAGCCTGGCGCGGAGCCGCGAGCATGCGCACTGAGCGCCGGGGCCGGCCGTGCCGTCTGCCGTCCCTCGCGCGCGTTCGGCTGCCTTTCCACGGTATTTTTACTTCGTCACCTGTCATTTCTGTCTCTGAATTTGAGCAAACCCATGGTTTGCGCTCCACTGTCCTTGTTTCGGGGGCTGAAAAGTTTAAGAAGCAGCAGCTCTCCGTCTCTATGAATTGCATTTTCTGCCTCTTCCTCAATTTGAAGTAAATACAGTATTTTGTAGAACTGTGCTTCCCAATATGTTAGTTACTAGCCACATGGGGTGATTTTAAATTTAAGTTCAAATTAAATAAAATGTTAAATGTACTTCCTCTGTCACACGTTTTAAGTGCTCAGTAGCCACAAGTGGCTAGTGAGTTCCCTATTGGACGACACAGACATAGAACCATTTTTCCATCGTTGCAGAAAGTTCTGTTTAGACACTCGCCTCAACACGCCTATGCTCCCCCCTATACATACCTGTTTCATGGATATTCCCCTCCTTTACCATCGTCTCCCCATCCTTTCTCCACCTCAAACCGATGCTGGCTGGATGAGGATGGGTTGGAGGGAGGAGGGAATTGGAAGAGCAATGGATGGGTGAGCACCTTGGAGCCAAAAGGCACCTAAGGCCATCTAATCTTCATCCAGAGTGGCATTTTCTCTACATAGTTCCAAATAATTATACAGCCTATAAGGTTGATATAATATAAACC